GGGTGTATTAAGTACATTAAGCACTCTAAGAGCCGAGATAGCTTCCTGAAACGCGTGAGGAAAACGATCAGAAAAAGAAAGAAGCCAAGAAGAAAGGTACCTGGGTTCAACTGAAGCACCAGCCTTTTCCACCCAGAGAAGCACACTTTGTGAGAACCAATGGGAAGCAGCCTGAGCTGCTGGTACCTATTCCTTGTGAATTCATGGCATAATAGGTGTTAAAAAAATAAAAGACCTCTGGACTGTTTAAACATGATGAAACCCCGTCTCTACTAAAAATACAAAACTTAGCTGGGCGTGGTGGCATGCACCTGTAGTCCCAGCTACTCTGGGAGGCTGAGGCAGGAGAATCGCTTGAACCAGGGAGGTGGAGGCTGCAGTGAGCCGAGACCCTGCCACCGCACTCCAACCTAGTGACAGAACGAGACTCTATCTCAAAAACAACAACAACAAAAGAATATTCATCAACAAAGTACTCAAGACTATAATACACATCTACTCTCTAAGAAATAAATTAGTTTCTCTCTCTTGTTTTAAGAGTCATTTTTGACATAAAAGAGAAAAAAGCAGATACTGTAATTGGAAGGGGAAAAAACTTTACATTTAAAAGTAGAAGGTAGACTTTTCAGCTGGAACTACCATCTTCCAGTATTTGGCCAAAATGATGAACACAAAGGGAAAAGGGAGAGGCACCCAATATATGTTCTCTAGGCCTTTTGGAAAACATGGAGTTGTTCCTTTCGTCACATATATGCAAATCTATAAGAAAGGTGATATTGTAGACATCAAGGGAATGGGTACTGTTCAAAAAGGAATGGCCCACGAGTGTTACCATGGCAAAACTGGAAGAGTCTACAATGTTACCCAGCATGCTGTTGGCACTGTTGTAAACAAGGCCAAGATTCTTGCCAAGAGAATTAATGTGTGTATTAAGTACATTAAGAACGGGTGTATTAAGTACATTAAGCACTCTAAGAGCCGAGATAGCTTCCTGAAACGCGTGAGGAAAACGATCAGAAAAAGAAAGAAGCCAAGAAGAAAGGTACCTGGGTTCAACTGAAGCACCAGCCTTTTCCACCCAGAGAAGCACACTTTGTGAGAACCAATGGGAAGCAGCCTGAGCTGCTGGTACCTATTCCTTGTGAATTCATGGCATAATAGGTGTTAAAAAAATAAAAGACCTCTGGACTGTTTAAAAAAAAAAAAGTAGAAGGTGGAATCTTACAGCTTAGGGGAACAAAGGGGTTGTGAGAAGTCAGTGGAGATCCAAGAGCCCTTTGGAACTTACTGTTTGTCCAAGATTTTATCTTCCAGGGCTATTTTTAGCCCATTTTGGATTGCTGTGTGGTAAAGAGAAAAGTACTGTATGGTAATGAACAGGAGTTAAGAGCGGGTCTGGGTTGTGTCCTGGCTGTGAGATCACAGGCAAGTTAATTAGTTTTTCTGTCTCTGCTTTCTCACCTATAAGTGGATTTTGTGGGGTTTAAAATGAGATACAATTTGTTAGAGAGCTTTGAGATATAATACAGCAGACACAAATATTCTACAACCTTGAGTAATTCTACGATAAGTCTTGGGGAGAAGAATGGGGAGGATCCAGTTAGGTCCCCTGACCCGTGTATAAATGAGAATCTGCATCCTAGATCTACAGAGCTGGCACAGATTTCTTCTTCTTTTTTTTTTTTTTTTTGAAACGGAGTCTTGCTCTGTCGCCCAGGCTGGAGTGCAATGGCGCAATCTTGGCTCACTACAAGCTCGGCCTCCCGGGTTCACGCCATTCTCCTGCCTCAGCCTCCCTAGGAGCTGGGATTACAGGCACCCACTGGCTAATTTTTAGTATTTTTAGTAGAGACGGAGTTTTGCCATGTTGGCCAGGCTGATTGGCTGATCTCGAACTCCTAACCTCAGGTGATCCACGCGCCTCGGCCTCCCAAAGTGCTGGGATTACAGGCGTGAGCCACTGCGCCCGGCCCAGAACAGTTCCTATGCAGAATTTCTTCTCAAAATATTTTTTTACGAAGTCTTTTACGAATATGAAAGCTCATGGAAATATCCTGTTCAACTTTGAAACCTGGAATTTTGTTTCTATGAAATTGACAAGTGACTGTGTGACAGTATTTCAGAAACAATATAAAAGAAGGAATAGAAACAGCTGGTAAATTCTTTAGATGTGAAAGTGGTTTTTCTTTTCTTCTTCTTTTTCTTTTAACCAGACTCTGATCCTGAAAAATAAACATCCCCCAAATCAGAAAACAGTACATATTAGCTGCTGAAAACTGAGGTTGAACCCAATTTTACCCTGTCTTGTTTAACTTCGGTTAGGGATGGAATGAAAGAGATAGTTTTGTTTTAAACTCTTGACCACTAGAAATAAAAGGGAGTGAAGTGCGCAGGTAGCCAAAAAATCCACCTAATTCACCTCCCAAAGCACACTCGCGTTTCTTTTGTTTTGTTTTGCTTTTTTGAGAGACAGAA